CTGAATTATCTTAAGTTCGAGTTCCAAGAAAATCGATTCATAGTACCGCGGTTGTACGCATGGCAAGGCAATGGAGCATTGCTTCCAGGCCTAGGCTGTCAATGAGTTAAACATTGAAATGTACAAAATTAGCCAAATATATTCACATTTAAATTCACGTTAAAATTACAAACAGGAGCGGAATATTTGGTCTTCGGTTTCTACAGAAACCACGTGAACAAAACTCAAAAGTCTATTCTGTTCATTTTACAAAATTCAAATTATTCGATTTTTTCTTTTTTTGTTTATGTATATTTTTTATATTTTAATCATTTATTATTTTGAAGAACACACAAGATACAATAACAAATAAATTCTGAATAAATTATAGTACAAAAGTGAACTAGTCATCATTAACAATGTAATGTATCAGTACAAATATATAAAATATATAATTACTTATAGAAATAAATTCAAGTTTTATATTGTTTAAAACAAAACAAATTCATTGTAACCAATCAGTACACTGTGATAATAATTCATTATAAGCTAATTTTGTTGCATCAGCACGTATGTAAGTCCAATGAAACAAGATATTTAGTTATTATATATATTAGTCATAAGGGATAGGGCAAATTGGACACAAAACGCTTAGTACCTTCTTTGAATATTCCATGAATTGCATGGGTAACATTTTTGAAAGGCTCGAAAATAATGACTGAGTTCAATTCACTAGTTTCTTGATCCGCTTGACCAATTAATTAAGGTTTTTAGTTTAGATAAAAATTCAGTGTCACGAGCGGGATTCGAACCCACGACCTTCGGCTAGATACGCCGCTACTCTACCACTTGAGCTATCGTGACCTCGATCCACTCGGACACTAACTTCCCATCTTAACCCCACCTTTTGAATTTTCCCTCCTTTTTACCATTTTTCAAATGTCATGTAATGTATTTGATTCTCGGCGACAAATGAAATGGCCACGGAAAGCTTTAGTGAAGGTATACTTCATTTAAACTTATTAAATCACTAGTTTCGTGGTCCGCTTCAATTAATTAAGGTTTTTAGTTGAGATAAAAAGTTGAAAAATGGCAAAAAGGAGGGAAAATTCAAAAGGTGGGGTTGAGATGGGAAGTTAGTGTCCGAGTGGATCGAGGTCACGATAGCTCAAGTGGTAGAGCAGCGGCGTATCTAGTCGAAGATCGTAGGTTCGAATCCCACCCGTGACACTGACTTTTTCTCTCAACTAAAAACCTTAATTAATTGAAAAAATTAACTGAGAGTATTCTTTAGTGCTTTGTAATTGGCTTTATACATATTTACGTTTATTATAAAAATGTAAGAAAAAATTATAATAACGGTTCAAAAAAGTCTATAATAAAACAAAAAATATTAATGAAAACTTTTTTTTTTTATTTGCTGGAATTGATGAATGTTTTGTTTTTTTGTCCATTTTTTCTCGTAAAAATTTCCTTTTGCTTGTCATCACGTAACTGTTTTTACCTGATTCAGATCAAAGCTTCCCCCCCCCCAAAAAAAAAAACTGCTACGTTTACTAAGATCATTAATTTTTTATGAGTAGGCAGATTTGAATAGGCGCATTGTCCTGTGAAAAATCAATTTTTCCCTCCCCCCTGCTAAAGTCCCAATTGGCAAATGTTCAAATATCTGTTTGTTATGAGCAGAAAACGCAAGAAATGTTACAGTATATGAAAGTGTTTATAAAATATCATTACAACATACATTTGGAGAGAATTTGTTTTTTACTGCTACTGTTCTACTTCTTTCTTCTAACGTTATTGCTCCTAATTTCAGTTACCAGAAATCTTTACTCCATAGCGATTTTGTTTCCAACGTCAAACTTTCATGAACAAAACATACGACAGTTTTGTTTCTTGAGTGAATTTTATTGGAGAATTTTTCACTGGTGTCAATTCTTTTTCAGTTATTTTTCTCTCTTTACCATCGGGATATTTTTCCTCGTAACTTTCGAGTAAGATTAAGAAATTGTTGACAGAGGTATTAGAACTTGCTATTTTTCCAGCAGCGGTTTGACGTTTGTGGTGAAGCAAAAGGATTAGTTTTCTCCGGTTTGAAAGTCGGTACTTATTTTTTCTTTTGGCATTGACAACGTGAGATTACACAGGGCCGAGAATGGAACAGATTGCCTCTTCATTTATTCTTGTATATTAATCCGATCGTCTTATCGGCAAACATTGGCTATCGTGATATACATACGTATACAATATTATAAAGTATTATTGTATATAATAAAATATCAATATATAAAATATACAAAATTCATAAATATATACTTTAGTTTACTGTTTTTATAAATAAAAAAAACTGTCACCTTGTCAAACTATCCCGCTATGTCTGAAAAAAAAGATAAAATAATGAAAACCAAGATTTTCCCCAAGATTTTTGAATTTTGTCCGAAGCAAAGCAGCTTATTTGCTTTCACCTTACAAGAAAGTAATAAAATTTTTAACTTTACTTTCACCTCCCCCCTGATATCCAGATTTCCCCATCTCATCGTTTAATAAACTTCGAAGAGTTCCGAAGGTTCTGATCCTAGCACTTTGCCTCTTCTTTGGGCCAACAGTTTCTTCGCCCTGATATTCAGAAACCTACTCTAATGTGTTTTCCCAGGTGCTTTAGGTACTTGGTAAGCACCATGTTGGTTTTAAGTTGCCGACAAACAACTAAAGTCGTCAAGGCTTCCTGGCTAACAGAATTTACGTTTGTTGTCGTTCCTCCGAGTCCTACCTTTTGGTTAATATTCTCCTTGGAAGGTTCTAAGTAGTTCCATGAAGTTTGGCGAGACTAAAGACCCTCCATTACTCCATTACTGTACCTATTTTACCTTTCATGTATGATCCATCTGACTAGTTAAAAAATTTGACCACCATTTTTTTCTATGAAATATTTGCATTGTTAAATACATTTTTATACTTGCAAAATAATTCCCTTATATTGGAATCTTATTCTACAAAATTCAGATATATTATTCAAATAATAATAATTTACATTTTTCAAATTGTAATATTTTAAGATACCGAAAGTTATATTTTATTCAGTATTCCTACAAAAGAAATAATTTATTATATTTGCCTTTTCCTCGGTTCTTTAAATATCAGAGTGTGATGTGAGATTCAAATTTGTTTACAATCCTTGTACATCTGACTATTTGGGGTCTGATTAGTTTCGCTATTGAATGCCAGAAACAGAATCATCCTAAAATTCACTTGACCTCAACACCTGTCGAAGAGATGTCTAGTGATCAAAAGAAACTCAGCAACACAAATTTTACACTTTTATCCCTGCTATCTCTTTTTTATGCTTTCCCTTAAGCCGTGAAAAGAAAGGCCGGAGGGCAAAAGAAGGTTTTTTTATTGGAGTGGACGGTTGTCTCAGGATAGTAGGAGGGTGCGGAAAGGGGTTGCCACTCCCGTCCTTTATCCACCAGGAAATAAATACCTCCTTACATTTACATAGCGACGAGAGATCCCATCTCTTAATTGGAAGCAATCCCATCTGGCATTTCTTCCCTTTCGCCCTTGTATCTCACGACAAGGGGTCTGATTAGATTGCCATTGATTAGAAGAAAATCCACGCTGGCAAAGTGGCCAAATGAAAATACACAGAAAACTGGAAGACACTAACTGCTTCTACTTTTTATCTGTAGCCTTTTTTACAGAGAAAATTCCACCCTAATTGCAAACGGACTGCAGTAATTAAAGTAGTCTTTGCTGTAAAATGAGAAAATCGTTTGAGTATAATCTCCAAGTCACGTGACTTCTTATTAAATCACGCGAATTCAGATGAATGAAAGTTTCTGTCTTCAAATAAAAATAATTAGTATTGTTCGGCCTGCGATCGTGACGTTCATCAGTCGCGTTCCGGTTTTATTGGAAAAAGGATTTCCCTCTTGAAATTTCCAGTTGTGTTTGCCTGCGTCAGCCTTTGGCCACTCAGCCTCTTGATTCCCATCAATCATGGCCTTTATCCATGTTTTCCACGACCCACCTCTCCTCCCAGCTACGAACACTGCTTCCTGATGCTTCTAGTATTAGTTATTAACATGAATTTTATTACCACTTCATCAATTTATGTTATTACGTGTTACAAAAAAAAAGGAAATTTATTGTACATTTTTACATTAACAAATTACTAATTTTCAGGCAAAAACACACAAGGTAATATATGTAACATTACATTAATTGCTGTATACAAAACACTATTTCCTTTTCAGTATTGACATTTAATTGGAAGATTAATTCTCTAAACATATCTATTTTGTCTGTTCTAAATGATTTAATATGATTATTGCACTGCTCTCGGCCTAAAACGCAGCTGAACTGCTTAAAAGTATATCTTCTTTATTGTGTAAAAGCGGCGCTATTTAAAATAATATCCAAATAGGCAAATATCAGCACGATAAAAGTTGGCTTTCAATTGCATGTTGATGGTCACGAATCGATAAAAAAAAACAAGCGCTAGCTATGATAGTTCAGCTGTAAACGGAATTTAAAACTTGAAAGGAGCGAGGGCTATTAGGTTGTTGTAAAAGTGTTAATGTATGTTTTAACATGCAAGCTGAGCTTAAATATCAATTGATGTTCGTACACACAGCCGTGTAGGCTGTATGTCATGCTTGTTCGTGGAGATGCTGCATGAAGCATTCTTCTATGTTGTAAACACGTGTCATTTTCTCTTAAAATGGCTTGTGCTGTACTGTATGGTCAATGGTATAGGGCTTTTTCCGAAAAAAAGAAAGAAACAGAAGAGAAAATTTCGAAACTAGATATCACTTCACACAAACCACACAAAAAAATGTGTCAAAAATTTGGATGCCTTTCCACTTTTGTCAAAATGGCAGGGCATCCGATCTGTTTCCGTTCTTCCTTTAAGGAAGGCGGTTCCCTGCACGTACATCCCAATGCACGAAACACCTCTGCACGGCCGCTCGATGTTGTTGCATTTTTTTAATCAATTTGTTAAGTGTGAGATGTTACAGGCGGAAGACGATAGGAAAGCGAGGGAACAGCTTGACATCGTTTTTAGAAAATTAGACATCAACCAAGATGGCGTTATCACCTTGGAAGAGTTTATAGAATCCTGTTTAAAGGTAACATAAATTTATATAAATATAATTTTTAGTGGAATACTAATCAAACTTTTTTTTACCAAGTCAACCATCATTGTGTGAGTGTTGTGTGCGAGTTTTACAGTTCTTACGCTAAGTAGGTATAAGTTAGTGTATAATTTAATTTAATTAATTCACTCGCTAGTATCATCCAGTAACAGCTGGTGTTTCTCAAGGTAGCATTCTAGCTCCGATCCTTGACCAGATATCTGACTCCCTACCCATCGTGAAACTCCATTTCTTACCTTTGCTGATGACCCAGCAATCCTATCGTACAGATCCTGTTAATTCCGTTCATAATCTACCGCAACATCTTCACATAATCCAGTAATAGAGCAAAGAAAAAAAGAATCAAATTCAACAAAGAGAAATTAATGAATATCGCCCCTCCATAGAAAAAACTACCCCCCCCCCCTAGTTTACTTTCTATCAAACCAGGGGTGATATCTGACGACATACCTAGACATCCGACTAACCTTAAATCCCCACTCGCGACAAAAACTGATAACATGATACAAGACCTTTTTCAAGGCTACAGAAATAACCAAACTGGCAAAAAAAAACGTAATTAAAACATTATAGTAAAACAAGTTTCAATTAATCTTTATGTAAGGTCTTGGTCGAGATAAAAAAGTCAGTGTCACGAGCGGGATTTGAACCCACGACCTTCGGCTAAATACGCCGCAGCTCTGCCACTTGAGCTATCGTGACTTCGATCCACTCGGACACCAAATTCCCATGGAATTAAACTAAAACCCCTACTTGATCTTAAGAACTGAAAATTTGGGATTCAATGGGAATGCACCATTCTATATAACGAATGTTACCGAAATGTTAACTAAATTTTAAATAAATGGCATTTGAACAAAAAGCATTTAGTTATAAAAAATTAAGATCAAATAATCAGATCGAACCAAAATAAACATTTTTTCTTGGTAAGATGATAGAAAACTCTAAAACTTGAAAGTTGTGAATTTGGCCTGATAAACGGTGAACCGCTGTAGATTTTCCAGTTTGGTCAAGAGGGAGATTAATTCACCCGGCTTGATTAATGGTTCAATTACGGCCTTTCTCATTTCACCTAGCCGAGGATATAAGGAATTTAAAATTTGTAGCGTCAAGATTAAACTCCCAAGATGTGGGCGTCTGTTATTTATTCAACGATCCGACAGAGATGGAGGATGTAAACAAGAGAAAACACACTTTCTTTTGGAGAAAATTCGAGCAGACACCACGGGAAAATCAAGACAAAAAATTTTTATTTTGTAGATTTTAGATAATTTCAGGACGTGCAGAACGTGCCATATTCGTACAAAAAATATATTTCTTTTTTGTTATAATGTAACAAACGAGCTAACTAAACTACACTTTATAAAAATTAAATTGACTTAATACAAAATTAATAAAACTAAACTGAACTAAAAGATCTTTTTGGCTTAACTATTAAAAAAATGCTAAAGCGTGACTCAAACTATTTAAATTATTTTTACTAACTTTTTTTTTTGGTAGGTGGACCTTTCAAATATAAGCGTTAAAAAGATGGAAAATGTGTATGAACGTTTTGGGACAGTTTATTTAGTACCTCGTGGGGGAGAAAGACGGCGTTGTTGTTATACTAAACTCACAGCTTCGAAACCGGGCAGAACTGTTGTCCCAACGCCTTAGAACTGAATAATATTTTTTTTCCACGAAAGTTTGTATGGATTATTGAATTTGTGGATTTAGAACAATACCTTTTCAAATGACAAACCTTAGAATGCATATATATTACAAAAAAATAGTGAAAAAAATTTTAAACAAAAAATTAAGATTTTTAGTTGAGGTAAAAAAGTTAATGGCACGAGCGGGATTCGAACCCACGACCTTCGGCTAGATACGCCGCTGCTCTACCACTTGAACTATTGTGACCTCGATCCTCTCGGACACTAACTCCCATCTCAACCGCACCTTTTGAATTTTCCCTCCTTTTTGCCATTTTTCAATGTCTGGTGTCCGAGTGGATCGAGGTCACGCTAGCTCAAGTAGTAGAGCAGCGGCGTATCAAGCCGAAGATCGTGGGTTCGAATCCCGCTCGTGCCATTCACTTTTTTATCTCAACAAAAAAACCTTAATTAATTGTAATATATTAATTGGTCAAGCAGACCACGAAATTAGTGAATTTAAACAAAAAACTGAACCAAATGTTTTTATTATATTGCAATATATTAAAAAAACTAACTAAAAATTCATGAAAAGCAATTCTAATTAATCCACTATTTTAGCCTTGAATGTAAACAATATTAAAACAAAAAACCTTCCTTTCATTTTGAAAATTAAATTAAAAATCTTAAGAAACACTATTTAATAAATAGATTACAATTTTATCAAATATTCTTCAAAAAACACTAAAAGATTTCACTAGAAGATTCTAAAATAAAAAAAGCATTTATTATATTGCGCACTAAAACAAGACAACAGTATAAATAGGCTGCCGTCTTCTATTTAAAAGGCGACCTGTAGCAAGGAAATACCTTTTTAACAATTTGACTTAAACACAAGTAATAATTAATTTGAAAATAAACATAAATTTACAAATGCAAAATGGTCCTAAATCTTTAATTACCACATAATAATGCCAAAACGAATAATGAGGTAAGCAAGTAAAAACAAATTTACAAGACTAATAATCTTTTGTGATGAAGATATTGTTTAAAAAAAAAAGAAATTCTGTGGTTGCTAATGATGGGTGTAAATCCCGAAACGTTCAGTAATGTATAATGAAATAAGAGAAAAAGAAAACCTCATGGAAATGTTTTTCTTATAAAAATCATAAATTAAAAAAACGACAAAATAGTCTTTAATTTATCTTTAATTTATCTTTAATTTATTTATATAATTGATATATTTTTGGAGACCTGACTGTTTCAATCTATCTTAGTTTTGTTTAAGTTGCATACGTTTTTTAATAATATTATATTAAATTTATTTTGAGTTTAGACTCTTCTTGTTATTGATTTTCACAATTTACATATTCAGTATTATGTTTTTATTGGGTTGTATTTGTTTTGTAGAGTGCATTTGTGTGTAGGATTAAATTAACTTTTGTGAGAACGAAACTGTGATTTTTTTTTACAAGAGATTTTGTTTTTTCGATCAATGAATGGGAGCATTGTAAAGTTTTAAGATTAGTTTCATGTTAAAACCGTATTCTTATTTGATTTCCATTCTTATTCGAAGAAGAAAAAATATTTCTTACGGTTTTACTTAATTTGGCAGTTTGTGATTTATACCAGAGATCCGTAGTTTTGGCAAAGGATTGTTGAATATTAAATTCTATCTTCTGGTAACAAGTCTTAGGACGCAAATTTCACAAAGTTAGCGTGAGTCCCATATTTTTTAATGGCCTTATGAACTTTGCATATTAGCCAATTAACGTAATATACGCGAGAGTATATAACGCTGAGTCCCATATAAAAAGGTAATAGATAATAAAATTTGGTAGAATAGAACATTATTTTAGCATATTCTTATATTGCCATAAACATTTTTTACAGCTTGTCTCTTTGCTAATCGCAATCTTAGTGAGAAGAAAGCAATAATATTAAACGATGCCTGAGGTTTTCATTTTTTGTCTCCTCATAACAGTTAAATATAATCGCATCGTGGTTTCGGCCAAACCGCATTCAGCGAACACACAAAAAAAAAGGCGTCGGATTAAAAGAACGCTTTTTCCAAGCGTTGTTGTATCAATTCACTTTCTAGGGAAATGCAGACGAAATATGCTATTTGTCTCTTGCAAACAAAACTTTTTTCGGGGCTGGATCAGTATAAATAAAAGCTAAAATGCCGGACAAACAGTGGGGGGCAAGTCTTTTTATTACAGTTTTACCAAAAGCCCTGAACTGTATGCACATCATTCTAACCCGAGATGATTAAATTTTTAAATATGATTTTAGAAAAAGGGACAAAACTCGTTCTAGCCGACTAGAATAAAAATCAACGGTTACAAACCCCTAATTGTACGTTTTTGAGAAACGTTAATGACAAATGTTTAACGAGTTGGGATCGGCGGACCCAGACGTGCTTCTCCATAATCGAGTTGCATCTGAATTACCTCTTTACCGATAATATTGTGGATGTCGTGTAACGAACGCACTTGCTAATTCAATGGCTATTATCGGCAACTGTGCTAGTTAATGGCAAATGAGCAATCGGCTCTGACTAATATCGTAAAACAGAATTTACTATGTTGGCGTTGTGTTATTATTAACTTCACTAGTTTTCGTGGTCCGCTTGACCAATTAATATCTTTCAATTAATTAAGGGTTTTACTTGAGATAAAAAAGTCAGTGGAGCGGGATTCGAACCCACGATCTTCGGCAAGATACGCCGCTGCTCTACCACTTGAACGCCAGTATGAAGCTGATATGGACTTACTGGAAGTGTGGGATTCATCCAAACATTGCAATATTCTCCGCATTCAAAGAGCTCAATCCATAATCCTCAGAAAAATCCTTGATGCTCCATTTTATGGGTCCCACGAAATTATACATAAGACCTAAACCCTTTGTCCAACATGTATTATCGCCAAACTCACACCAACCTCCCGATCATCATAAATCCTCAAATACAAAAATTCAACCTGACGAATTCTCCCTACCCTCCTTGCCGATTAAAAAGAATATGGCCGCGGGATCTCCTTTCTCTTGCTTATTTACTTTATTTGCTTATTTTATGCACTCATTGCTACTTATTACCCAATTTAAGGTAGTTATAATATACTACAAATAAGTTTTAAAAAAACCTGATTTTTAAAACAAAATTGACTAGATTAGCCATAGTAATTCAAATATTTCTTTTTTACAAATTGACATAATGGTATAGGCCTGCAATTTTGTTCGTATTCGTAGGCCTACATTCGAATCCGACATACTTACCTATGTTTTTTTTTTCCAAACACCGGCGGCACCCTGAGGGTTTATATGACTTCTGCTGGTGCAAAC